GAGATCCAAAAGCAACAAAATCTAATCAGATGTCTAAGTGGATAGAGAGCAGAGAGAAAGTAAAACTGCTGTACATCATAATGTGTGGTTGTTTTTGAGTTTAAAAGTCAAAATGAAACCTAGACACTTGACAACTGCCAAACATAAACTCAGCTTAGTTCACAAGAAATGTGTGGCTTTCTAAAAACTTGACCAAAAGTCACAGGAACAATGATGCTATTTTTTTCAGGCTGCCAAGTACCAAAGGAAAAGTCATTCCCAGACAATGACCTCCAGTGGACAGAAGGGTCATAGTTCACCGGGACCTCAAATTTCCTCAGATAAGCATCTTACCCCATGTCAGCTTGTTTCTTATGAGCTTCCTGGGGTTTTACCTAAATTTGTGTATGTGTGTTTAAAAAGTTATTACTGTTTTTCGTTTCCACATTCCTTGTAAACAGCTCACTTACATGACTCATTTTGTGCCTATATAAACTTTCAGCACCACCACCATGACTGTTAGTAAGATGGCTGCTTTAACAAAATTATAGTTTTGAATAACAAAATTTTACTGTTTACAGTTAAACTGGTAGGAAAGACTTCTAAAGTCTTGATAAATACATTTCTTGGATTTACTGGTTCAATTTAGGTCCCTGATTATTATAAAGGAGCCCCTAATAGAGGTTATAGAAGTAATTAAGGAAAGAAAGTGAGGCCAGAAGCATAAATTGAAGCCATCCTTTTGAAGGTTAATTTTGCAATGCCTGTTAAAAATACAAAACACATACCTGTGAGGCAGCAATTCCATTTCTAGGATTTTATCCTCTATATTTACATACATAAATGAGCAGAGATACACATGCAATTTTTAACGTTTACTGCAGCAATTGTAATAAGAGAAATACAGAAAACAACCTGAGAGAAACAACCTATTACATCTGATAGGAGTTCCAGAAGAGAAGAGAGGCAATTTTTGAAAAAATAAAGGCTGAAATGTGTCCATAATTAATTGTATGCAATCAACTTTATATTATTTTCCATAATATATTTGTTAAAATTTTACCAGATAGTCCTTTTAACTTTTTATGACTGTGTATAAACTAAGTCTCTGGTGAACTTTTTTTTTTTGATGAAGTAAGTTGTATGAGGAATCTATACACATAATTTTCTACTAATTTACTGAAGGCATGACCAATTCAGGTTACTGAAATGAGCCATGTTACCTTGGTATGGATGTAGTATTGTAGCAAGACTTGGGTTCTAGCCCTGGCTTCACCATTTTAGTATCCATTTAATCACTTGGTCAAGTCAGCTAACTCCTCTTTGAATTTCATTTATCTCATTGGTAAGTGGGAATAACACCTATTTAGTCTAGCTAGCTCATAGAAATATTGTAAAGGTCAGTGAAAAACAGGAAATCAACATATTTAGAAGAGAAAAACCCTGTAATATTAATAGCTGCTTGTGGTAGAGACAATGCTATCTGTTCACTGAACTATTAAAACTTCTTTTCTGAAGTACACAGTGAAACTACATTTTCCAGCCTTCCCAGCAGTTAGGTGATTGAGTTTTGGCCAATGACGTACAAAAGAAAAAATACTTCCAGGAGTTATGTTCTATTTGATTCTTCATTCTTCTCTTGCGTGTTGATTGGATATCAATTTCCAGGATGACCTGGAAGTAATGTATTGGAGATGGTAGAACTTCTTTAAGCCTGGATCTCTACATGATTCTGTAGAGAAAGTGCCCACCCACTTCAGCATGGTCCACACTGGACTATGGTACAAAAATTATTGTATTATGCCACTGAGATTTAAGTGTTGTTACAGCAGCAAGTATAACATACCCTAAGACACTGCTAAAAAGATGGTTGAGGAGACAAGAGGTGGAACTTGCAGAAATATCAAGAGATTTGGGAGAATTTACCCAATGGCCACTACAGCATTTCATCTGTTTTGCCAGACAATGTCTGGACACAGGAGGCTGTGTTGGAATGTGGGTGGGTACGCTTGTGGGTATCTCTGTGTGTTCTTTTCCTCTCCAGGACTAACTGGCAAAGTCCAGATTTTTGTATATAATTGTCCCTCCTTCTCCAGAATTAATGCGATGTCCAGGATTGTGCTTTTTAAACAGTAGAGAGTCATTAAGCTGTCTTCAACATGTCAAAAGCTTTTAATTAGAAATATCATTAGATTTTAGTTAAGTTCACATGCCAGCTGTAATCCTTGAAAACCTTGTCTAGCTTAAGTCAAAAGGAATGGCTTTTTAGCTTCTCCTCAAAAACTAAGATGTGAAACATCTCTGAATTTTACACCAGGTGAGTGAAGTAGAGCCATTGGAAAAGTACCTTATCATTAAACTTAACACACCTTGTAATTTGTCAAGCTGGTTGACCACTTGACAACTATTATAAAAAAGACAAGACATAACAAGTGTCAGCAAGGATGTGGAGGAAAGGGCTCTTGTGCATCCTTGCTGGGAATGTAAAGTGGCACAGCTACTACGAAAAACAGCATGTAAATCCCCCTATATTAAAAGGAGAACTACTATATGATATGGCAATTCCACTCTGGGTATCTGGCCAAAGGAAATGAAATCAGTCTCTGGAAGAGGTATCTGCATCCCCACATTCACTGCAGCATTATTCACAATAGACAAGATGTGAAAACAACCTGTCAATGGATAAATATGGTATATACGCACAATGGAATATTAGCCACAAAAAGAAATCCTGCCATTTGTGGAAGATATTATGCTAAGTGAAATAAGCCAGACAGGGAAAGACAAATACTGTGTGATCTCACTTACATGTGAAATCCAAGTAAGTTGAACTCATAGAAACAGAACAGTGGTTGCTAGGGGTTGGGGGGTGGTAGAATTGGAGAGATGTTAGTCAAAGGTTGGTCAAAGGGTTTTTGTTGGTATCTTCAGGTTTATTTCCCAGTTTGCTAATTCCATCTTCAGCTCTGTCAAATCTACTCTTTAATCTGTGTGATGACATGATTAAAATTACATTCATTTTTAGATGTTCTAATAGCTTTATTTTTCAAGTCTGCTTTGTTGTTTTTCTCCATAGTAATTTGTTCTTAATACTTTAATCCTCTCTTTATGTCTTTAGCTTTAAAATGGCCTTTCAAAGCATCTATCCTATTGCTCAATTTATTGTCTGAAACTCTGGGCATCCGATTCTTCTATTTTAAAAATTCTATTGACTTTCAATCATGATTTTGTAATTATTTTGTGCATATTCAGTGGAATCATATTTGGGAAGCCTGTGCAGCCTGGATCCAGCACGGATTTTGCAGTGTTTTGTATTGTTTCTGCCAGTTATCTACTGCTATTACTGGCCCAAGTTCCAGTTTTTTATGCTTTTTACTTGTGGCTTCCTGGATATCAAAATTCAAACTCCAAACCTGTTTGGGGTGCTGGATTCACGGTTACGAATTTTCAGAAGAGGCATTTTCTCTACCTGGAACCCAACTTCTTTGTGTTGATCCATGGGTTTCCCTAGTCCATTATTTCCCTAACACTATAGCCCTTGGAGGGCTCTAGTTCCAGCATAATCCTTATAACCAAAACCCTTAGACAGTGGAGAGAATGCCCACTCCCTCCCTGGCAGCTACAGAGCCACTGTGTGGCCTCACTGCTTTGGCCGTCATCCCCTTATTTACTTCAGGCTCCTGGGGATTTCTCTCACATTTTTACGAGAACAGCCCTGCAAAGAAAAGAACACTGGTTATATTTCCCTAGCTTTTCTAGGTATTTAAAGTGGGGACAGGGTTTTAAAGTACATTCGTCCACTGGCTGGCTGAAATTGGAAGGCCTCCATCCTACAAATATATTATATAAAAATATCAGCAAGCGATGGGAAGGAACACTTGGAAACAGATGTACTTGAAGACTGGAATTAAAATTTCCTTTTTATTGTTAATGCAGCACAATTCAGGGGGGAAAAAAAGCTGACTTAAATAATAAGGCCATTAACTGATACTTAAAAAAGACCAGTAGCACAGGTTTGGAGGGGGGTTAAATGTTTATTAAACCAAGCTTTAAAATTATATCCACCTATAGTCCGTAAACAAATACAGTGCTCATGTAAGTAAAAGGCTCTTAGATTAGAACTAATGGAAAACCCGAAGATCCCTTTGTACCCTGGCACTTCATGGGGTCACGTCATAGTTAAAGGATTAAAGGAAAAACCAGAAGGAATTTAGCTTGACTCCACCTGCTAGGATGGATTTCAAAACAGATATTTGTTCCACATTATAGCAAGGCAACAATGTAGTTTTACATTCACGGATTGGCTGAAATAGTACAAATTAAGCTTCTCTTCAGGATGTCTCTCTCCCCATTATCATAATTAGTAAGAAATGTGAATTAAAATAGATGATAGACCGCAGGTGGTTATAAAAATAGATAACTCAGAGTAATAAATATCTAGTTAGCAGAGCACATACATATAAAATTTTCCTTTTTCCATAATATGCAGAATATCATAAGTATTTTCAAGAGGTACAGTCAGCAGACTTTAGAATGGTAAGAGAGCATTTGTAAAGAAAAACACTCAAGCACAAAACCCAGAGCAGGAAGCTGAATGCAGATGAGGATATACAAAAGACAGAATCCTAATCCCTCACATCTTATTATCCTACTTAATAGACACCACAGTTAGCTTACCATCCTTTATGTATCTTAAAAAGTAACTTTGTTACCTATGTACAACTTCGAAAATGATTAATCATGAGACAAGCGAAAATTGATTAACTTCATAGTGGCACTAAAATCAAGGGAACTTGTTAACATTTTGTGTGCTTTCACATACTTCTGTGGATAGGACTTTATAATGCTCCCAAAATATTTTGGATAGTTTTTAAAATTCTCACAAAAATCTACTCTGCAATCATTTCAGATATGGGGGGGGGAGGGGGGGAAGTCCCAAGCTGGAAAATAAAAAGGTCAAAATTCACAAAGTGACTGAAAATCCATGAATATGCAAGTGACATTCATATATTCCCTTAACACTTTATCAAGTGCTATATAAGGTCATTGTAATGCTATCCTGAAACCAATCTCATTTAAGAAGATACAGTAATTCCCATTCTAATTCTAGAATTAAAAGCACTTATTCCACATAATGTGCGTTTCAGCGAGGTTGACATCTACTTGGTTGTACTTGTCAATGTCACCTTAAAGCTTCATCAAAGCCTCATGGCAGACCGGAACTATAAAAGTTCAGAACTAATACTACCACGGGTAGTTAGTTATTCATCCTAAGTTCTTACAGGGAATGAAGGGTATAAGCTGTCCTAAGGTCACCTCAGCCTAAAACAGGGTCCCCTAGAAACTTTGGCAAGGATCCTTGCCAAAAAAATCTCCATAATCTCACGTGTTCGAGACTCGCTAAGTTAAATAAACAAGGTCCACTAACATACTAACATAGATTCTACACCCTCAAGAGGGGGTATACGGACATGGCTTTTCCCAAACTCATGTGACCTTGCCAGAGTACACCCGGAACCACCACTGGATCCCAGGACACTAGTTTTCTATGGAACACGGTTTGAGAAATGCCAATCTAAAGTAAAATTCCTAAAGTAGTGGTTCTAAAATTGTAGTGAGCATCAGAAAGACATGGGAGGTGTTAGAGCAGAGATACCATAGCCCACTTCAGAGGTGAGCGGTGGGATCTGGCAACCTGAATACCTAAGAGACGCCAAGTAAAGCTGATGGAATGAGGACCACACTTTGAGTGATAACCGTCTAGACGACACCCCACACAAATATCAGCTGCACGAAGCCCTCCTATGCCCCCAGAGAAGGCTGCATATGGTATTTGCCACAACCACTCCCTGGAGGTCAAATCAGCCCAGTGACATCTGAGAAGGTCCTGGGGCACTTTGGTGGGGTAGAGGAGCACTAGACACCTCCTCACCAGGTGACCAGGCACAGTAATTGCATCTTAAAAGAATAGTAGCAGCCCCCTCTCAGGGCATCTGCACAGCTTAAAGGAAATGTTTGCATGAAAGTGCAACCTAACAAAAAGCATCATACAAGTGTCGGTGATCAGAAGAATGTGTCAATCACAGCAGGAAGATCCCAGATGAGTTTTCTGTCTTCTGCCACTGCTGAGCACATTCTGGAGGCTAATGAAGGAGAAGAGGCTAAAAATGCAGAAAACTGCACTAACAGGGAAATTAAAATTATTTACCTAATAAAAAATATCTAATTGTTAAAAAAAAGATCAACTCACAATCAAAGTAGTTAATTATGCTGGCTTTGAGATAGTGTTTAAAAGTTACAGTATGTTGATCTTTGAACACACTCACTCTTCCATTCTACCATGTTATTAAAGCTGGTTAAATTTTAACATCAAGAGAATGAGAAAAAGAAATTCCTTCACTCAAATACATGTGAATTAGATCTAAAATATTTAGCTGAGATAGTTCTAATCTTATAAATTACCATGGTGGGAAATTTTCAAAAGTAATTTTAAAAAAGGACCTTTAATTTTGGTTCATAGAATCATCCACAGAATGAGAAATGAACACACACTCACACGTTCACACATGTGCGTCTAGTTGTTGCCAGTACATCTTCGTGCAATTTCAAAAAAGAACCTGTAAAAGTTCATACACACCCATGACGGGATTACAGTCAAGCAAACATCTTCTTGCCAAGTCTCAGTTTCCATTTGCACCCAAAAGACTGATTGGAAGGGCAGAACTCTGCCCGACATGTTGCATGATCCACTTTATATATGCTCTGGATGGCTCTGGAGACAAGACAGCATCTCTTGAACGGGTCTGCCTTCATAGCAGATCTGATATACTGCAGTAAACAATGGAAACCTAATTGGGGGGAAATGTGAAAAGACAAGTTATCTGGTTTACGTCATAGAACAAATCAGTTTTTCCCTTCTAACAGATTGCAGGTTAGTGTGCTACCTGTGACCACGTCCAACATCCTTTTATTATTGGTCTGCAGAGAGTTTCTGCACTGTTGGCCATAAGATCTTGGGACCACCTAAACCATCCTCTGGCTAATTGGAGTGCACTGTCCAAAAACAAGTCACGTGGTAATCCTTACAGGGTCATCTGTGGTCATTCGCATAAAGAGTTGTGGCTCAGGCTTGTGGCCAAATCTGGAATGAGTCCAAGTTTCTGTTGCTATTTTAAAAGATTGGAGAATAAATTTTAAATTGAAAGGAGGTATTGCTCTCCCTTCTCCAGGAAGGATCATCCAAGGATGAAGATGAGGCAGCCCACACATCACCATAAATAATTCAGCCTGGAATGCTCCTGCAATAACCAACAAGGGGACCTACAATTAGCTGAGCACTGATCCCATGTTGGAAGCTGGATTTATTTCGTCTTTTCTTCCAAGATGTGAATGCATATATATATGAAAGTTTGAAATGGATGAGGGTTTGAAGGTGTGGGCTAATAATCCACTGTAAGAAAGGATAATATTATCTCAGGATACAGCTGGCTCAGCAAATATTATGGAAGATATCACTAAGGAAATAAAGTTAATTTCAATTAGGCTTTTACACACACACACACACACACACACACACACACACACACACACACACTCGAAAGTGAGCTTCACAGTCTTACAGGCCACTCTAAAAATTATCTAGTTAGAATCTTGTAGTGATAGCTTAGTTCATATGTCTTTATGATAGTCTATCATTATGAATTTTTTAGGGTTCACAGTGTTTTGTTATTTTTTGGAGTCAGGCAGACTTAGACTTAAGGAAATCTGCTCCACAGCTTATTCATTCTGGGCAAGATTCACAACCCCTCTCACCCAGTTTGTTCATCTGTAAAATGGGCTGGACACTCAGGTCTGTTGTATTAAATGACTTACATGTAAAGTGTACAATGCAACACTTGGTGCATGGTGGGTGTGCAATAAATGGCAGCTTACAAAACACAGCCACAAAATGGCCACTGGGTTCTAGACTGTAAGCTCCAAGAGGACAGGGCCCAAATCTGTTTTGTTCACCTCTGCATCCTCAGGGCCTGATACACTGCACAGCAAGGGGCAGGTGCTCAGTGAGTATTTGTTGAATGACTTCTTGTAAATGGGTGTTAGCGCCTGGAGATTTCAGCCCCTTCCATGGCTTAGTTTTCTATGATGAGAACAATTTCTACGTCCCCAAAGCAGGGTAGCAGGTGATGAGTGGCCACCCAAAGCCATTCCCAACCCCTTTGTTTCCGTACTGAAGTCAGAAATAGTCTAATGCTTACTTTCCCAGCTTTTCTTTTACCTAGAATTAGCCAAGTAAGCAAGTTGTAGCCAGCAAGACATGTATATCTGCTGAGGGTTTCAGAAGTTAGTTCTCTCCTTGACAAACACTGAAGGGAAAATCTGCTACCCCAGACTGCTCTTGTAGCTTAGTTCAATTGTGTGAGTATGTGATGCTCGGTGCTCCTGCAGCCATCTTGAGGCTTTGAGGAAAAGCCAACAGGTTCACTGAGATTCTAATTCAGAGGCACAGAGCCAACATCAAAATGTTCACCTCTGGATTCCTTGCTATGTGAGAAAAAAACACCCTATTGTTCAAGGCATTTTTAACTGAGTGTTGCTCTTGCAATCAAAAGTACTCCCAACTCTCACAACCACCATTTCCAAAATGTATTCTGTAGGTGGGATGTTAACGAGGGATATGAAGTGTGGGAGGAAAAGGGGGCTCTCTAACTCTGGAGCCCAAACTCAATTGCCAGCTACACTGCTCACCTAAATGCTATTTTCTATAATATAAAATGCTACAAGGCCAATTAGATCAGTTTGGAGGACTCTCTAAATAAGGGTAGAGGTGAAAGGAGGACAAAAGACAATATTTCATAGAAAAATACTGACATAAACCAATTAATCAGCAATCTCACTAATGGAAACTAAGGACTTATGATATGTCAGGCTTCAGCTAAGTGCAGGGATATGTAGTATTCTAAATAGGGTCTCAGCCCTCAAGGAGCTTACAACAGTGTTATGGACTAAATTGTGCCCATCCCCCCCACATCCATTTCATACAATGAAGTCCTAATCCCCAGGACCTCAAGGAGTCCTTAAGGAGGTAATAAAGTTAAAAAGGGCTCATTAGGGTGGGCCCTAAACCAATATGGCTGGTATCCTTATAAGAAAAGGAGATTAGGACTGATACACATAGAAGGAAGACCATGTGAAGACACAGGGTGAAGACTGCCATTTACAAGCAGAGGGGAGAGGCCTCGGAAGATGTCAACCTTGCCGACATCCTGATCTTAGACCGCCAGCCTCCAAAACTGTGAGGAATACATTTCTGCTCTGTACGCCATGGGTCCCCAGCCCCCGGGGGCGTGGACCAGTACTGGTCTGTGGCCTGTTATGAACTGGGCCACACAGTAGGAGGTAAATAGCGGGCGAGTGAGTGAAGCTTTATCTGTATTTGTGGCCACTCCTCAGCGCTAGCATCACTGCCTCAGTTCCACTTCAGATGATGAGGCATTAGATTCTCATAGGAGCACCGGTCCCTGGTGCCACAAAGGTTGGGGACTGCTGGTGTACGCCACTCAGTCTGTGGTATTTTGTTGTGGCAGCCCGAGCAAATTAATACAAACACCTTATGCTTATACATGCTCATAAAGACACACGTACAAGGAATTTTTCTAAAGCAAATTTTATAACAGCAACTTTAATATTTCTTGACAGGAGACTGGTGAAATTAAACTGTGGTTCTCCAATACAGTGGCATGTTCTATAGCCATGAAATGAGCTCTCTAGGTGTGGATGTGCAATGATCTTCAAAATCTATTCTAAAATGAAGATACGCTAGGGACAGAGAGGAACGTGGAGTCCGTTGCCCATTACGCCAATGAAAAGGCTGACTGGAAATGCACACTGAAAACAGAACGCTGCTGCTCTGGGGTGGCGAAGAAGACTCACTCTCCACTGTGAACCTTTTTTGTATG